GTTCAGCCATCTCCAGGGAAGCAGGGCTGCATCATGTGTAATGGTTTCTTGGGAAGACAGACGCCATCACTCCAAACGTCCCTCCACTTCCTCCTTCTTCTTTGCCATAGCTTTATATACCGAGCATGACGTTATATGGTATGGAATATGCCTTTGGCCAGCCTGGGTCAGCTGTCCTGGCCGTGTCCTCTCCCAGCTCCCCGGGCACCCCCAGCCTGCTCGCTGGCAGGCCAGCACGAGAAGCTGGGCTGTCCCTGACTGCTCAGCAACAACTCAAAACATCGCACGTTATCAACATTTTCTCATCCCAAATCCAAAACACAGCCTCACACTAGCTTCTGTGAAGAAAATTAACTCTATCCCAGCTGAAACCAGGACACTTGCTTTAGTATTATTAGCCCTCACAAATTTGCCTGGTTTCCCTCCTCATTCTTTCACACTGGGAGTATTCAGTTAACCAGTGAGGTGGCAAGGTTGGCATTAAAGCGGCGAGCCTGTACTACTAACTTTGTGTCCATCCTGTGAAATACCACTCCAACCTGGAGATTAAAACTGCAGAAGAAAATGGCAAATAAGTCTCACATTCCATATGGAGTTTGCATTCTCGAGAGAGCTGTGGAGAGAAGGTCCCCATTATCCCATTACTACACGAAGTGTAGATTTTCTGTATCAATGAAACAAGCTAAGTGCAATGACTTTTGAAAATTATTTACTGCCCAGATGTTAATGTGTGCTTTTTAGTATTCCAGGTGTATTTTGGTTTATTCAACATAATTTAACAAGAATAATAAAGTAATTTCAACTGAGGGCTGTGGTGAGAGGAAGAGAGTAGCACAGGGTCTGATCAATTAAGCTACACTATTCTAAATGGTAATTTTTTTGTTATTTTAATGCAATTTCTACCTATATGCTGTTTAAAAATTTACCTTTCTTTCAATTCTGTTCTTAAAGAGATTTTATATCTTCTAGGTAAATGCTACCACAATTGATGGAGTGACACCTTTATTTAATGCATGTTCAAGAGGCAGTGCAGCGTGTGCTGAGCTCCTGTTAGAGTATGGTGCCAAAGCTCAGTGGGAGTCCTGTCTGCCATCACCAACTCATGAAGCAGCCAGCAGAGGTAAGAAATTACCTGCTGAA